CATTGTCAAGAGCATACGAATACACCATCCTCTAACTGAATGAAGGGCCATGGTAAAAGTTCCGTGAAATTCAGAAACGTCGAAATCTTGGACCGAATAGCAGTCTGTTTCGTGCTCCCGGCACCAGCCGGCGATCCGATTCATCGTTAGGAACCGATGAAAACAGGTTTCCTGATGGTCCAAGCTAAAGCAAGTACAACAGCCATCAGATTTCTAACATCTCCAGTAATGTTCAGAAACTGAACCACACAAATAGTTGAAAGAAACAGAAAGCAGCCTGAATGCTTGGTGTGCACTTAGTTACACCCCACAAATATTCAGAAACAGGGTGCAAAAGGAATAAGTGCTCTGCTTCTAACAGGGGAGACATAACTAATAAGTAGGTCTACTTACAGAAGCTAAACACTTAACACAACTATCTACATCCCCATTATCATCTCAGAGCACCTCCTGATTAGCCTTATAACCAAAAAATTCAGTAGCACATTGTCAGACTTCTCCGTGATAGACCCAAAAAATCACTCGTCTACCAGCTACCGTATGGCTTAGCACTTGAATAGATTTATTCACCTCAAGAATATTACCTCCTAACTTTGACTCAGTTCTACTAATTAATTATGCTAATAAGAGTGCATTGGAAGAGTATAAGTCAATTTTTTTTGCGAGAAAAATAAGACAGTTATTAGCTTGTGTAAATTACCTCTATCCATCTGCCGATCGTCTCAAACTGTCATCCCTTCCTCCTTTTTAAAAACTTTCAATGCTGGTGATCAGACCATATTGTTGTTGTGCACTAGCAAAGGCGTCGTGGTTCACCGGCAATGTCGTATTATCAGTAGCAGCCGGCGCCACATGGATTTTTGCAGCCACCGCACTTCCCTTCTCGAAAGAGAGAGTATATATAACATACCCCAAGAATTAACCAAAGTGGAAATTAAGAAAATGAGATGCACATGCAGCACTTAATTACCTTATATTCTTGTGCATTATCAAAAGCTTCATGATTCGCCAGCAGCATTTTGTTATCAGTACTAGCTGGTGCCATAGGGATTTCCGCAGCAAGCTCACTTCCCATTTTACAAATATCAACCGGTACTGCACAGTAAAGAATAAAAAATGTGATATGACTATGTGAAGAGAGAGTTTATGTGTAGATCAACGCACCTCAAGAAATAACCAAAGTAGGATAAGATGCACATACAAGCTTGCTTACATGACTCTTCAGTCGAAATGGCACCAGGAGGCGGTGTCACTACTAACATCCTACCAGTCAGTAGGCGGTGTCGCGGAGCTCTCAAAATTCTCTGCATTTTCTTAGTATAATAAAATTCTTTGCAAGTTCACTTTCTGCATTTCACACAAACCTCTTGTGCCTTCTTATGATTAGCTGTTGCCGTAGGGCTATCTCTCGCAGCAGCCTCACTTCCTAGTAATTTAAATGGTTATCAGCCATTTCTTTGGTGACAAACAAGAGCTTGAACACCTTGGCCTCTTGGGTGCTTCTTTATTGCTTCTTTCCAGTCCTATTTTTGGTCGCTTAATCCATCATGGAGAGCGATCTCCTTATGAAATGGCAAGGACTGGATCGTCGTGCCACTGAGATCCTTACATAGCAGCTGCAGTGACTGAATGCGGGACAGAGCCCCCATTGTATTTCCAGCTCAGTCATGGCTTCTACCATGATGCGTGCCGTTGCATGCTTCTGAGCACACATATGCATTAGCCCATGTACCTTTTTCCCCATTTATTTGCTTTTATTTTTTTCTTCTGGGTTTTCATGCTGGTTCCTTTTTCTTTGTGTTTTTTCTTCTATTTTTTATTTTCCCCTTTCTCCTTTTTCATTTCCTGGTTTTGTTTTTATCATTTTCTTGGGGAAACATGTGAATTTTTCTACAAAGTGCATGAACATAAATCAGTCGCGCCTGAACCCTTTTTGGAAAACACTAAACTTTCCTGTCAACTTGAATTATTTTTTATTGTAAATATGAACCTTTCTAAAATATGTGAACATTTTTTTAAAGTACATCAACTTTTTTTATGAACACATGAACACTTATCTTAACATAAGAATATTTTTTCGGGCGTATCACCATATTGTCAAAATATATACATATATATTTATTTTTATTTTGAAATAAAATACATTGGAATAAAAAAATGAAGCTTCTTGGGCTTGCCCTTGTAGCAGACTTATGCTTTATAGGGCCTAATCTACACCATGAACATGTGATTGGAGCTCCCCAGAAAATCCCTGTTCTATGCTCGCATTGGGTCAGTTTGCCCCCATAACCTGCACCTCCGAATTCTTGCGTCCAACCTATTTAGCTTCTTTCTTTTCCCCATTTTCCCCTGTTGTTTTTCTCTCCATTTTTTCTACACCTTTTCCTTTTTTCACTTTCTTTTTTAAGTTATTTATTTTGTGTTAATTTTGTGCTTGTTGTTCTTGAGTTCTTTTTACTTTGTTTTCTTAAGGGAGATGGGGAGGGCATATATTTAAAAAGAACTGTATGAACATTAATGTAGTCATGCATGTTCATTTTATTCTATATATTTTTGTAGACATGAACGTTTTGAAATATGAGACTAGTATGTAAAAAAAATATGAACCTGTTCATTGAGGAATAGAACAATTTTATTTTTTGTTTCTCCCTATTTATTAACTTTAAATGGGTTTAATATACGTTTTCCTTAAAATAGTTAAGTAAAAATAAATTTCTGAATAGAAACCTTTTAAATCATCTTGCGCCGGCATATATAGGAGCACTCTAAGAGCACACTGACACACAGAGCTAAATTCATGTAGATGTTATTTTGGTAGGTGTGGTGTGAAAATATAACTGAGTACTAGTACATCCAAACGGTAACACTACCCTTTTCGAGTCAATGCAAAGTCGACCCACACCTCGCGTGATACTGTCAGTCACCGTCCTCTGCTTTGTAAACCGGACAATAAGCTTAACAATGCGCAAAGCAGGCACCGGGTACGACGGAGTGTGCTTCCCGATGCTTTGCTTAAAATACTTGAACACCTACGGAACCATGCATGCAGTGGAGCCAGCTTTGTCTTGTTAATGTATGGAGATTGAGGACGGTTGTAGTGCTTTAGTTAATATATATATATATATATATATATATATATATATATATATATATATATATATATGTTAATTAACCATGACACAGTACTCTAAGCCGCATCTGAATCTATTCCCAAGGTCCCATCTCAGTCTTTGCCTGCTTAAAATATGTTGTTTAAATTTTGTGGTACTTGTTGTATTTTGGCGTCCATTCTGTTTTCAGTTTTTGTCCATATACATGTACTGCGTTACAATTAGTTACTTTCGGGCATCCATTTCAATACTAAAAATGTTGCAAAATTGATCAAATTCTACACTTTTAGAAACACCGAGAGCGACATAATCGCTCACGTTACATTTCTCACTTCTTGGTCCACCTACTCGTCAAGATATTCTCCGCTGTCACTATTGTCTGCCGACACGAGGAGTGGTGCTTGCATCTGATGATTATGCATCACTCTAAGTTTGCATGCCGTCCGTAAGCCCTTCGGAGTCGCCTGTTGTTGTTCAGTTTTCTGGTCACCCCCTCTTTTTCATTGTCCCAATACTATTTCGCCTGATTTTTTCCTTTTGAAGAATGCGGTGAAAATGTTGTTTTTGTAAGTGTAGCATGTAAGACTCACTGAGTTCAATAGTCCATCCAGTGTCTGCTTCTAGTGAATGCAAAGTTGAAGTAAACTAATGCACCACCAGCTGCTTCGATCGACGGGAGATAAGCTTAACAATTCAAGCACCAGGTGGCTGGGCACCACATTGTGTTTCGTGATGCTTAAAAACCTATGGACACGCGCGGCAGCAGTGGAGAGGAAATACAGACGCGTCTACTAGGAGCCCCCGACAAGCGCAGTACTGTAAGCCGGCAGCATCCGATGCTCTAATTTTTTTTCTGCACTCCCAATGTGGCATCTCAGCCTTTGTTATTTGGCAAGCCGATCCAGCTAGAACATTTCATTTCTAGAGTGATAGGAGAGGAAAAAACATTACGCAGCAAAGAGTGCTAGAGATTTAACTGCCATCACTCATCATAGGGTAATTCATGTTGCACCTAATTTCACAATATTCAAAAGTATAACCATGGATGGGAAACAGAGCCTTGATCCTATGGGCTTGCTATCAAGGATCCACAATCAATACTGGAAGCAGATTCTGTGTCGACACTTACTTGAGTCACGCAATGGAGGACGACAGGAAAAAAGATGGAGATGAAGACGAGGGAACCGGAAAGACTAGGATAAGAGAAATCATAGAGGTGTTGGCCTTATTGGACTCCTCCCCTCCACTCTCACATCGGCCCCGCAAGGCGATGGTACTCCAACAACCATCAAATTTCAAACATCTGTTGCAAGCTTCAGAAATAGAACCACACAAACATTTAGAAATACCAGATGTTCAGTGTGCAATTAGTCACACTACACAAACATTTAGAAACAGGGCACAAAAAGAATAAGTGGTCCACTGTTTCAAAAGCACTACAAAATAAAGATTTGGGTCTACTTCTACTAGGGGAAACAACTAATTAGGTCTACTTACAGAAGCTAAGCACTTAACACAACTATATATCTACATCCCCATTATCATCTCAGAGTAGCTCCTGAATAAACCTATAACCAAAACTTTCTGTAGCACACTGTCAGAATTCTCCGTGCTAGAAAAAAAAGGGGCAGCCCAGTGCATGTAGCTCCCGCTTGCGCAGGGTCCGGGGAAGGGTCCCACTTTGGGTCTATTGTAAAACACTGATCTACCAGCTTCGGTATCACCTATTACTTGAATAGTTTATTCAGCTCAAGAATATTAATTCCTAACTACAACTCAGTTCCCCAGGCTCTGTCCCTCTGCCTCTCACATGCCCTAATCTGATGCAGGCTGGAAGAGGGATCACGAGCTAGCGGTGAGAAGAGGGGGCTGCAGGTTCCTGATTGATTGATGCTGCGAGAGCTCAAGGAGGAGGTGCAGATCGTACCTCTCCTCGAGCAACAGGTACGATCTCCACCTAATGATAAGGAGGTGGAGGCCGAGGAATCTCCTCAAGTGCACAACAATGTCTTCTCCGATCCAGGTCCTTCTACCAGAGGTGAGCCCGAGATCATCAGGAGCTCATCTCACTTGACTTGCTAATCACTGTTTATAGCTAGGAAGGACGTACTATTATTAATTGCTTACAAGTTTCCCCTACAAACTATGTGTCCCTTTCTAACCTGTAACACGATTTGGGAAACCGTTTCCATGAAAAATGAGGACACATCTTCTAATCTCTCGCCTTCTTGTATGAGTCTTTACTTGATGTAAAGATGGTCAATGCTGTCTCTCGACCACGGCTGATGTCATTCATTATTATTATTTTACTGTAACATGCATTGTTTGTTGATTAATTATACCTTTGTTTGTGTGTGTTTAGATGTTTCGATCCGAGGCAGAGAGATTAGGTCCCCAATCAGTGCTTCACTGGGCGCCATGAGACCCCTTGTTGGGAAGCTGGATATGCTGCTGCAAGCTCCTCTTTTACAAGGATGCTCCAACTCCAAGAGGGTCAAGAGGCTCATGGAGGTGATGCGCCCCCTGAAAGATGACGTTGAAAAGATGGACTCCTACCTTGATCAACTGTCAGAGGTGGACGACCCTCCCATGGCGGCCAACTGCTGGATGAATGAGGCGCGCAACCTGTCTTACGACATGGAGGATTATATTGACAGCTTAATATTTGCGCAGCCTGAGCATCCCTCGCATGTTCCCAAGAATCCCAACAACATTAAGTCAACCAGATCCAGCCTCAAATTCAGATTCTTCCTCAAATTCTTCAGTCATGCCAAGACTACCAAGACTCAGGTTGTTAGTATTACGGAAATGCTATCAGAATTCAGGATGTATGTCCAGGAGGCGATTGAACGGCACCAGAGATACAGTCTCCATTCTTGCAGCACACTGAAGCGGTGGTTTGTGCCCGTTGGCCCTACGGTTCCAGTTTCAGTGCAGTATGATGAAGAAGCGGCACACATCGTAGTCGATGGTTGGATGAGTGAGTTTATCAACTCACTGGGGGCTGACGTTGGGGAGGATCAAGAGCAGCAGCAGCTCAAGGTGGTAGCTGTTCTTGGACCTTCATGTCTCGGTAAAACTACACTTGCCAACGTGTTGTACAGCAGAATTGGGAAGCAATACCATTGTCGAGCTTTCATTCGGGTGTCCAAGAAACCCGATATGAAGAGGATTTTCCGTGACATTCTCTCGCAAATCCAGCGTCCGGACCCACCACAGGATTTTATGGAGACTGACCTCATTGCTAATATCAAGAAATATCTACAAAACAAAAGGTACTACTGTTTTTCTTCATACAAAATGTCGCCATAAAACCCTAATTAATATGCCCCCTCAATTTTGGCATGCTGCAGGTATCTGATTATTATTGACGATTTGTGGGAAACATCAGTATGGGATATTATTAATCATGCTTTTCCTGAGGGTAATCGAGGCAGCACAATAGTAACAACTACACAGATCGAAGACGTTGCAGTAGCATGTAGCTGTTATCAGTCAGGGCATGTCTTTGAAATGAAACCTCTGGATGATGAACACTCAAGAAAGCTATTTTTTAACAGACTCTTTGGCTCTGAAAGTGATTGTCCTGATGATTTGAAGCAAGTTTGTGATGAAATTGCTGAAATATGTGATGGTTTGCCGCTAGCCACAATCAGCATAGCTAGTCTTCTACTAAGCCAGCCTGTCATGTCAAATGATTTCTTCACATACATCCATCAGTCGTTAATCTCTTGTTTCTCTGCAGTGCCTACTTCTGAAAGAACTAGACAAGCACTGAATCTGAGCTACAATAATCTTCCTCGTTATTTGAAGACATGCCTGCTCTACCTTAATATGTATCCAGAGGGCTACGCATTCTTAAAGGGTGATTTGGTTAAGCAATGGGTGGCTGAAGGTCTGATCTATACATCAGAAGGGCAAGACATTGAGAAAGTTGCAGAAAACTATTTCTATCAACTTGTTGGTAGAAGCTTCATCCAGCCGACATGTGTCAACTACTACAATGAGGTGTTGTCCTGTCAAGTGCATGACATGGTACATGATCTTATTGCTCATAAGTCTGCAGAAGAGAATTTCATCGTGGCAATAGACTACAGGTGTCAAAAGAATGTGTCACTTTCTCATAAAGCCCGTCGACTCTCGCTCATATTTGGTGATGCGAGATATGCCAAGACACCAGCAAACATCCAAAAATCGCTAGTTCGGTCAGTTAGATTTTCTGGATTACTTGAGTCTATGCCTTGTCTTACAGAGTTCAAGCTTGTTCGTGTCCTAAACCTTCAACTAAGTGCTCAAGGCCGCAGTGATAATGATATAGCAGACCTCACTGGGATTTCAGAAATGTTTCAGCTGAGATATTTGAAGATTGCATGCGATGTCTGCATCAAACTGCCGAACCATGTATTACAGTGCCTGGCTACATTGGATATTACGGATGCAAGTTTTGCTCCTGTTCCATGGGATGTGAATTTTCCACGCTTGCTGCACTTGCACCTGAGTCTTCCTGTCGAGAGAGATCTGCTGGATTGCATAGACAGAACAAGGTCCCCCAGTCTAATGAGCCTCGGCAAGCTAAACCACCTGCAGGAGCTTCATCTTACCTTGTCGCCACTGTCTACTTTCCAGCATGTGGCGAAAAACATGGAAGCTCTGGGTTCTTTAATCGGAGGCCATTGCAACCTTAAAACTATAGCAGTGGAAGCTCAGGCCTCATCGGTTAAAAATACGTCGGCTTCAAAAACAGGCATTTCATGGGATTGCATGGAACCTCCCCCCCTTCTCCAGAGATTTGAATTCTCGCCGCACAGCAGCTGCATATTCTCACAGGTACCTTCGTGGGTTGGAAAACTTGGCAACCTATGCATTTTGAAGATTGCTGTGAAGGGACTGCAAGCACACTGTGCTGATATTCTCAGAGGATTGCCGGCCCTAGCTGCCCTGTCGCTGTACGTGGAGACGCCGCCTGAGGACAAGATCATCTTTGACAAGGCCGGTTTCTCGGTTCTCAAGCACTTCAAGCTTACGTTCATGCGGGGTATAGCCTGGGTAAACTTTGAGGCGGATGCAATGCCTAGTCTCTGGAAGCTCAAGCTAGTTTTCGATGCCATCCCCCCAATGGACCAACAGTGTAAAACATATGCACATAGTAGGGCATTAATCAACATCGATTATATGCCAGGCCTTAGAGAGGTCTTCACAAAATTTAGGGGTGCAGCTGCCGATCTGGAGCATGTCTCGATGATTGGCGTAGTTAGCAATCATCCGAGCAACCCTATAATTGACGTGCAATTAGCGGATTCTGGTTCCTATAGCAACGAAAGCACCAAGACAGAAATAACAACCGAATGAGGTGGTTCAATCAATCTGCTTGTAGCTTGGAGTACTAGCACAGGTCGGTTTCAGGTGCTATAAGTAAAGAGCAGATCATAATCTGGTGGCACGGAAATTGCTGTCCTTGCTTTCGCTTGCACTGAGTTTGTGAAGCATGTTGGGGGAATGTCTTGAATCCTCCTAGGCATATTGCCTGTTGTAACTTGGTACACATCATCATCTGCATGTTGTTGTTCGTGTGTGAACTGTTAAGTTGTTGACAAACTGTCAGCTGATAATATATGTTCCTTATGTGTTTTTTCCAAAGAAATTTGGTCCTTACGAACATCATTCGATTATACAAGTCTAGTTAGTAGCAGACACATGGTTCGCCAGAAGATAATGCAGGGGTACTAGCCAATTGAAAAAAAAGATAGCGTGCTATGACAAAATAGTGGCCCTTAAAATACGCAATTAACATGCTATATCACGCTGTAGTGTGCTATTAGCGAGACATTCTACACTAATTGATTTGGCAAGAAGAGCTTATAACGTTATAGTGTGCTATTAGTGGCGTTGTAGCACGGTTTAAGATTGTGGAAGCGAAATCACACTTAGAAGTTGGCCTGGCCAAAGCAAGGGAAAAGAAAAGAAAAGAAGATGGTCATGATAGATTGGTGAGTGGGGAAGGAAAACATGAAGTATCCAAGCAAGATGGCGAGAGAGAAAGTCGTCAAGCAAGCCTGTTCTGACAAGGCTAATTTGTCATTCTGACCGCTACTCCATGAGAGAAGGTGGGTGCAAACTCACCCCCTTTCTTTGATCCAGTGTTCCATTCTATTCCCTTCTAGAAGTAAGGTGTGGGTCCACTTACTAATACAGATCAGAGGGTACTGAATGATCGCTGGAACGGGGATATGGGAGAGACCAACTACTAGAGATCAACGAGGCGGCCGGCACATGCGCTGCAGCCGCCGACAGCAAGGAAAAGTAGACTATAGGAGGCCGTCCCCACTTGGGTCCCATGAAGGTCACCGCCATGGCGTAGCCGTGTCACACAACCGCTGACTTGCCCAGTTCGCGTGGGCGGAGACCAGCCTCACCGTCTTCCAGCGTTCAAAAACCAACCCTGGTTCGTGCTTCGCGAGGCCGGAAGCCACTCTTCCCCTCACCTCCAGGGCTCACGGTTGTACGATGAGTCGGGCTGCCGGACATAGCGAAGACATGGTTGGGGAATGGGGCTCAACCGCGGTCGGCGATAGCCTAGGGTAGCCTAGGCTAGCCTAGTCCTCTATAGTCTATCCGAAATGTAATACGGTTTATATGAAAAACATCAGGTTTGCACGAGTTCGTCAGGTTTGTTCAAATCCGCTCTCAAATGTATGTGGCTACGGTTAGATGCCCGGCTCTCCCGAATCAGCGGCAGCGTCCCCGCCCCCGCCCCGCCCCGCGGTCCCCGGTCCGTGGACGGTGGTATCCAGTTTGCAGGTCAGTGTTAGAGATCCCAATTAAGGACCTAAACTGTTCTAGAAAAACAAAGAAAATAAAACGGTGACACGGTTCGACCCAAAAGAAAAAGCAAAGATAGTCTAGGGTGCTAAATGGCCAATCCTTAGACTAAATCACCACTCATGAGGGGTAAACATCTAGAATTGACCACATATAAAACCGATGCATACATAAATGTAGAGAATTTGTAATAAATAAGTAGTGTTTCTTTTTTGTCAAAACCACACCATTCTTAAATAGCCAAAGAGGCCAACATAAGGTCGCTCTCCCCGAAAAGTGCAAGCAGCAACGGAGCTCCACAGAGCTTTTTATTTCTCTTTCAACGAAAATACTTTTTAACACTTCAAAAAAATCTGAAAAAAAGTATACACATAGACATATGTTTGTAGTATACATGTGTAAAATTTCATAAACATATATGTTAATATGTGATGTATAAAAAAGACAAATACATGGACTAAAATATGCCTTTCCCTTTTGTTTTTGGGACTGATATTTGTCTTTTTGTGTAGCATGCAAATGGTCAAATTAGTTGGTGAAATTTTATACATATTTGAACAACATGCATATGTATTTATAGAAAAAGATTTGACATTTTTTAAAACTTTTAAATATATTTGGACTTTTTTTTTTGCAAAACGGGCTCCATGGAGCCCGGCCTCTGCAACGCCTCGCCGCACTTTCCCACCAAAATATGGGAAGTATGTTTTTTATCAATACCATGCAACTAGTTGACAAACATATCACGCACACTGCGGTTGTTATATCCAAACTAAATATTGGTAAATATACTAGTGGTAGAAAAAATGACACCGCTCCTGTCCACAACAACTTACATCAAACCACATAGTAGGATGCAGACATGAACATCACCTGGGAGTGCCCAGAATATTGTGATTTTCATTGTAAAAAATACTAGCATAAACACTACATATATTAGTTATGCCACAAGATGCCATAGTGCTAAATTAAAAATACAATTCTAGACACAGAAAATATAAATCTAGCTATAAACAGTTGCTAATTCAATGTGGATTTGCAATTTTGGCCCATTAACAATATGATCGCTAAATATATTTTTCATCGAGATAAAGATTAAATATGGATTTCCAAAATTTATGATATAATAGATGCATGCGATGTGGTTTCATGAATTTTATCATGCCTTTTAGCAATGTTTTAGATAAGTGAAAATAGAGAGGTCGGTGTACTTCACCAGCCCATATATTGCACAACTCGGTTGGCCAGTCATCACCTCCTGCCTCTTCGCCAGTCTGACGTGTTCACACACAAACATATAAGATCTTGCTTAGTCCAGCGTGTGTATCGTCCAATCGGTTAACTATATTTTAAATACCAACTAATCTCTCACATTGTAAATAGTACATTATGTATCAAACCAAATTCATTTTCATTTTATTAATGACGTTAATTAGTGTAGAAGTAGCATTCACAATCAACAACCAAATCGTTGATAAGTCTGACAGAGAGGTACCCGATCAGATAAACAACATTAGTATCTGAAATGATCTAACATGCAATTGTGTCTGACCAGCTCAAAGCATCAGAACAAACACTTGTAGTATCTAGGACGAGCAACCGCATAGTAGCTGAATTTTAACCGATTAATTAAATCCACGACATGGCAACTGTCGTTTTCTAGCTAGCAAATTGGCCAAGGGAAAACAAGTTTTTTTCAGCAAATTGTAATAATTCTCCTATTTGGAGAGATAAATAATAAAAATGTTGGTGATTTACCATGCCTCAGCACATGCTACTTTCTCTTACTCTTTCAGCTGTCCAGCTCCCCATATCTTTTGTTTACAAGAAAACCAAGTTGATCATTGGTGATCACTCTTCTTACACACGATGACAACTCACAAGCTTAGCTGTAAACCATGTGATCTTCTCTAGAAGAATTTACACTACTAGGAAAAGGCCTACTAATGGCGCACTGGTTTTGCCTACTAATGGCGCATTACCAGTGCGTCATTAGTAGCACACCATTAGTATTTTTTACTAATGGCGCACCACTGGTGCGCCATTAGTATCTGGTATACTAATGGCGCACCATGCAGTGCGCCATTAGTTTTCCCACAGTGCGCCACTAGTGTCTTCTATACTAATGGCGCACCACATGGTAGTGCGCCATTAGTAACAATTTTTTTAATTTTTTTTCTTAATCTCAGGTCACTATTTCACCTATGAGATATCCAACACATATATATACAACAAGCATTCATATAACAATCATAGCCAACACACAAGTTTCATCATATATACATACATAGCCAACACACAAGTTCCATCATATATACATACATAGCCAACACATAGTTCCACCGTTACATATTATAAAAGTTTCACATTGTTCATCCAACACCGTTATCCATCAATTAACAAAAGTTTCACATTGATACAAAATAAAAACACAAATGAAAAAGAAGCACTCTATCCATGCAAGCTTCCGTGAATTAAATCAAATCTGCAAAATGATAAACAAGAAGTTAGAAGAAGAAAAAGAAGAATACTAGAAGAAGAAGAACACTAGAAGAAGAATAAGAAGAATTTTGGAAAATAAGAAGAATAAGAAGAAGAGTATAAGCTTATTATGTAAACTTGATCATTTTGTGCTAACTTAAGTTATTTTGGAGCTAACCTATAGGAAACTAAGCATATAAGCTCTAAGTTAGTATATTAGAGCCAACTTAGGTAAAATGAAGCTAACCTATGTCATTTTGGAAAAAGAAGCAGAATAAGAAAAAGACTATAAGCTTATTATGTAAACTTGATCATTTTGTGCTAACATAAGTTATTTTGGAGCTAACCTATAGGAAACTAAGCATATAAGCTCTAAGTTAGCATATTAGAGCCAACTTAGGTAAAAATGAAGCTAACCTATAGGAAACTAAGCATATTAGAGATAACATAGGTAACTAAGTATATATATATCATTTTGGATAACTAACCTATAGGAGATCTGACATACCTGACAAAGTTCAGTTCTCATGCATTGTTCTTCTCCTTCTCCTTCTCCTTCCTCTCCCTGATGCGCCAAGAGCGGCGAGGCGGTGGAGGCAGTGGAGGCAGTGGGATGTAGTCTTCTACCACAATTGGCGTGGTCATGTCGCCCAGCTGTGGGATCGCCGGCGCCACCACCAGTGCGTGGTCATTGTCAGGCACCACCACCATCGCGAGGCCACCTTCAGGCACGACCATCGCTAGGTCATCCTCAGCCACCTCCATCTCTTGCCCATGGTCAGCCACCACCATCTCTTGCCCTTGGTCAGCCACCACCAGCGCTAGGTCATCCTCAGCATGATGCCCATCGTCATCCTGCAGCTCCTCATCCCCACTCTACTCCTCTTCTCCCGCACTCCAGTCCGGATCATCCTTCGTGTTGTCTATGCTGCTGCCAGAATCGCTACTGCTTTCGCTACAGCCAGAATTGCTGCTTCTTTCGCTACAGCCATAGTCGCTGCTGCTTTGGCTGTAGCCAGTGTCGCTGCTGCTGCTCTCATTACCTGTCC